CCTGCATCGGCAAGGAAAAACTCATAAGAAAAACCCAGTGGGTAAAAAGTGAGAAACCTCGGGGAATCCACATTTTGAGAGAGGGATCCGCTCCACACGGACGGACGGACGGCTGTAGATCCAGGACCTAAGCTACAGAACGTGGACCAGGGCCACGCAGCGGCCGCAGAACGTGGACAGGTCCGGTGCAGGACTGAAGATCTCCCAGGCAGTCCGCAGGTGTAGATGGAGGAACCCAGGTTCAGAGGTCCCGTCGTCACACCATGAAACAGACAATGGGACAATGGGTGAATAGCAATAAACAGACTACAGTCAAGCTCCTAATAATGCAGACAGATAAAGTAGGAAGGAGGAGAGGATAGTGCTCAAGTTACCATACTTCTCCCAGCAAAAAGCCTGTCAGAACAGGGCCTTTCTGAGTGGAGTTTACATGTTCTCCCCGTGTCTGCGTAGGTTTCTTCTGGATACTCAGATTTCTCCTACCACTAAAAACATGTATAATAGGTCTGGCATGCGCCTGCTGCACTGGCGACCCCGCTCCCATCTCTCTGTGGAATGTGAGACATATGCCCACAATTGTAAACCGCTTTATGACTCTGGTCTGTAAAAAGGCGGTATATAAATAATAAATACTTGTTTCTTCGTTTTAAAAGAAGGAACGAGTAACGAGAAAAGTTACCAGTTACCAGTTAACACCCTCCTACAGAATTTGCCTTGTTTATGATTGGGAGATTTTTTATTTTTTTTTTCCTAAATAAAATTAAACAATACATTTAAAAAAACCATTTGCTGTAGGGATGACATAAACTTTCTATTCTATTCCAATTACACCTCACATATACACATAGACAATACATGTAGAATTCTTCGGCTCTATCCACTGCATGAAACACCTAATGAATAATAAATCACCATTAACCTGTAGGTGGCGGCAAAACTCTGTCAAGAATTTATAAAAAGGGGAGATTAGGATTAGGTCTAATTGGGTATCAGGATCAATATGACTTCTTTGTTCTTTCCCATTGAGGGTCTTATTACAGCATCGTGTTTCCTGGGTGCTCATTTGCAGGGATGCCTCACAGTGATGAGTCATACACACCTGCCGCCAACGCACAAGCAGGCCCCCTCCCCCACCACACTCCTTCTTGCAAATGTCCCAAAATACATGAAAAACAGCATATAATTTACCACTCCTGCTTCAGCACCACTCTGCCGTCTGTTTCATTCCCTCCGCTTCCATTCCCTAAACGCCAGACTTCATCTCAGCTTTGCACCAACAATAATACGACTGCAGATGTGTGGCACCTGGGAAGCTGTGTGTCAGCTGTCGTGTGGGCACCGTCTGAGCCAACCCAGGATGGACTTTTGTTCTGTTTGGGCCAATATATTACCTTTATGTATGTGAACATGTTGATTACTTTTTTAAATACACTTGTAAATACATGAAATGGATTTTTCAGACAATTTCCTTCCAATGCACCTGTGTGTCCAATGGCATTGCCGGTTTACATACATTTATGTTCTCCCTATTTTAGATATCCCCACAAGCCAAATGGTTGCATTGTCGTTCCTTACCCTTGAATACCCTTGAATATCATCTCCATTGATGTGGCTTCATCATTTTGAATTGGACTTGGACACTTGCCATGTTTTCCTGGCGCACATGTCAATGCAGTGAGTTCCTCCTAAACCCCTCTCTCATCCCCCATGGGTTCCCCTCACTCCCCTCTCCTTACTCAACATTTGCTCGGCCTTTGAACAGTGCTAAATATATCCTCCTGTTCCTTGCTATCTCCACTGGAGCGCAGCAACTTTCACGTCTCTTTCACTTCTCATAGCAGATTTCTCAAGTTGGTGATAATCTGACTTCCACGGGTCCTTCTTACAAATTTAGACATTTTGAACACTTGTGTTATTCCTTATAAAGGGAAAAATGGTTGCACAAATCATCCCTGTACCACAAACATTTGGCCGGGGAGCAAAGTGTAAAAAGATGTGTCATGGCAAGCTGCACTCGTTTTGAAGATCTTTATGTTAGTCCAAGTAAGTAAGTAATCGTTAATAATATAGCACATTTTTACAGACCAAGGTCACCCAAAGTGTTTTACAATGTACACAGTTCAGATATGGTTTCATTCTCTCAACACGGTGATGACGGAAGCGAGACGCCGAACACACTGGTGCATCTAAGCCCCCAATCAACTCCATCCATTCACTCACTCATTACATTCATGTTGCACATACAAGGAAAGCTTCTATCTCAAACTCATCTGCATTTAAATCTGCGAACCACTTCTGCAGGTCAGTGTGATGGTTTTAATAAACTCATATGGCTGACTTTTAGTGAATGCATGTCAGAGACGCTGCATCGATGTGGCCACAATGGGGATGCAGCTTTTGTGATTACTCCATGAGGGCCATGACGACGGCGTGGCAGGGCCAGGTCCATTGGGAGAAGTGGGGCAGCACTTCTTTTTGAGGCTTTAACTTTTTCATTCTTTCTATCTTGGTGTCACCTACTTTTTGTTACAAAACTTCAAAGATGTTTCAACAAAGTCACATTTTTACAAAAATGTATTGGGAATTGGCCAAAAAAAACCATGATCATGACAAGGTGTCAAAAGTCTGCATTTTTAATGTGTGTAGATCTGTACAGTGTATTTTGGGTAAATACATGTATTTGGGAGGGAACTTTATTGTGAAGTTGTGAAGCACAAAGTGGGTGTTTCAAAAAACGAATAAGAAATGTGAGAGAGGCAATCCATAAACCTTGTAAATTTAATAAATTCATGATTTAGTGTGGCTGATGATTCAACACAGAACTCTGATTCATTTTATTGTATTATATTTATCAGTCAAAGAAAAAATCCTAAACTTTCTTGGCAGCTGAGGTTAGTATAAAAGGCAACAAACTATTGCAAATATGGTTTATGATCTGTCATGGTGTGGATTTTGTTATTTTGTACTTTGGTTTTATTTTGACATCTGCTCTCTGTAGTTTGGTTTTTAGTTTGACTTCCTGTCCTGTTTCCCCTGCCTTGATTGTCTGCCCCGCCCTGTTTCACCTGTGTGTCTCTGTGTCTATATGTACCCTGTGCTTCTCTCCTCTTGTTGCTGGTCCATTGTGTTGTCAACATCTGTTCCGTCCTGTTCCTGGTTATGTGTTCCTTGTGCCTTTGGATTTTTAGTTTGTTTTCTCCTGCACTTTCATTTTTTCATAATTAAATTCTCTTTATTTTGGCACTCCTGCATTTTGGGTCCTTCATTCACCTCACCTCAGGACACCATCAGTTTATGACAGATTGTCAATGGCTGTAGGCTCAGGCCCCAGTGAATGTCCCCTCGAAGCTGAAACTAAACCTACGCCCTTGGGCTGTGCACACAGATTCAAGCACTTTGTGGGTGTGTCTGTTTTGATTTCTACCCCTGTCAATCACTGCTGAACGTCTCCTGGAGGCGGGCTTTTCCAGCGCAGTGCTGCATCATCAAATTGAATGATGATGCAGCCCCAGACCATGATGCTCAGCACTAGACTGGACTGTTTATGGTGTTTGTACACATCACTATGGAACTGACTTCCCTCAAGCATGGTGGTGGCAATGATGTACCAAGTCATAGTGTATAGATTTTAATTAAAAAAAAGGGTGTTTAGACCGCCGACAACATCCACGCGCACTGGAAGCACCTTCACTAAATTTCAGCCGCGTGAGTCTCGTAAATCTGAAGTACTGCCCTGTGATGCCCCAAATCGTAGTTTGGAAGTGGTGGGTGGGCTTTGAGGCTAGCGAGTTTAAGCTAGCGGATTTTGATGTAAAGTTCTTGTCCTTGAGTGCAGATCCGCAACGTCTCTGTGTCCCGAGACCATTCAGAGACATCATTTAACAGAAGTATTCGCTCACAGAGCTGTGCCATGGATTTATTATGAAATTAACCAGTACTTTCGTATTGGTGAACACATTAGCAGCACTTGTTTACTGTCACAGGAGAACGGGAACTTTAGATTAGTCCTGGTTTATCTCCCAACCCAGTCTTCTTGCCCTGACCGGCTTGTGTCCACTTTGCGACTCTCTGATTGGTTGCAGCACATGCCCCTCCATTGACAAAGCATGGAAACTCAATGCAACCCATGATCCGGTGTGAATGCGGCTAAAGGATCAAACTTAACATTTGTCTTTACTGATATTCACCCTATATCTAAAATGTTGTCAGAGCCCATATCTGTGTGAGATTTTGTCGCAACTGAACCACCACAGCTGTACAAAATATATTGATATAAGAAAAGCCTCAAAGGAAGTGGACACTTCTGGAATGTTTTATTTCTGTCATCTTCAACTCCATGTAAACACAGTGAGACAAATTGTCAAATCTGGGTTTAAATGTAACAACCCAATCCCTACATTTACCAGCGTAATGCCCCATAAGCATGCACACTCATGCTCGGGACAGATGTGGGTGCTCATTTGTGTCTGTGTGTGTGTGTACGTATGTGTGTGTGTTTGAGGAGGTTTGCTGTTTGACAGGGCAGACAAGAGAACATGTGGACACACCAGGGAAGATTACAAATACTGAAGGGAAGACACACACACACACACACACACACACACACACACACACACACACACACACACACACGCACACACACACACGAGTCCTCTGACAGAAGACAGGTGAGCCTCAGACATTTAGACGTCCTACCAGGAGCATTACAATGACATCATGGTGCATATAACAGTAAACTGCATGTCCATGATGGTCCTTCCTTCCTCATGGACATTACAGAAAACCAGTGGAAAAACATTAACCTGCATTTGTCTTGAGAATTACACTCCTCAATTTAGCCATTTTGAACATGGACATGTTTGCAAAAAAAATATTTGAATTGGAAAGCCAGTGCAAAAATGAAAATGAGGGAACAATGTGGGAAAGGTTTTTCCAGGATTCCATTTGGTGACTCAAAAAGTAGATTAACCATGTGACACGAAACCTCTGAACACTCAAGTATGGGAGGCAGGTGGGTATTCACTGGAGCTAGAGTTAGCGAACAGCCGAGCACAGGAGCACCAAGTATCAACACCAGACACCAGCACCATGCACCAAAACCACACACCAGCACCAACACCATGTACCAACACCACACACCAGCACCATGTACCAACACCACACACTATAGCACCATGTACCAACACCATACAGCAACACCACACACCAACACCATGTACCAGCACCATACACCAGCATCATGCCACTAACCAGCTTTTGTTATATTATTCTGTGCCTTACAATAAATCTGCGGGTTGTAAAGCAGTAACCATTATACTACATGGAGACGTAACTCAATAGACTCATCCTGACACATCCTTTTGTTTCTCCTGATTGAAAAGCACAATATGTCTTCTTTAAGTTAATCCCAGCAGACCACATGGAGGTCAGGGTCTTTGTTTTAAAACAAACGGTACATTTATCCATAAAGGTTGGTCTGGATGATCAAACTCAGCTTGACAGAATGCTTGTACTGTGCGCGTCGCCACATGTTCTCCTCTACTTTCGTACAAAGACAGAATGTTTTCTTTCCCTGTAAATAATTCTTATTTCCTGATCATTGACAGAGCTGAGATGCAGGCTGTTATGGCATTTACAAATGTATTTCCATGGCAACATGATACAAATATAAAATCCTAACAAAAATCTAAATAAATCACTGGATGCAAAGAATTATGGTTCATAGAATAGTGAATGTAAATATCAAAATTAGAATGAAAACACAAAACATGATAAACATGCAATTAGTCACAGAAACTCTTCTCACATGACAATAGTTTTTCAACTTCGGGTCGGCACAGTGGCTGAGTTGATAGCACTTTCGCTTCTCAGCAAGAAGGTCCTGGGTTCAAATCCCGGTCGGACCGGGGCCTTTCTGAGTAGAGTTTGCATGTTCTCCCTGTGTCTGCGTTGGTTTCCTCCGGGTACTCCGGTATCCCCTACCACTAAAAACATGTATAATAGGTCTGGCATGCGCCTCCTGTACTGGCGACCCCGCTCCCATCTCTCTGTGGCTTTGTGACTCTGGTCTGTGAAAGGCTGTACATAAATAAAGATTACTTACTACTAAGCAATGTCAGTGTCCCTGTTCTGACGGAAACTCTGGGTGCAGAACGGCAGCCATTGTGTGTGTCCAGGCTCAGGTTTCCCTGTGACACATATAATTTTCAAGCTCGATGAACCCATGATCAATTTGAACAACTGTGTACAAAAATATCAACAATATATATTTTTCCAAAAGTAAGTAAGTAAGTAATCTTTATTTATATACCGCCTTTCACAAAGCGGTTTACAATTGTTATTTTTGGGCATTTGTCTCTCACTCCACACAGAGATGGGAGCGGGGCCAGTATATGCCAGAACTATTGGACATGTTTTTAGTGGTAGGGGAAACCAGAGTACCTGGAGGAAACCTACGCAGACACGGGGTGAACATGCAAACTCCGCTCAGAAAGGCCCTGGTCCGACCGGGATTCAAACCCAGGACCTTCTTGCTGAGAGGAGAGAGTGCTATCCACTCAGCCACCGTGCCGCCCAATTTTAATCCAATAATTATCCAATAATAATAATGCCCCTTTTGTGCACACTGTTCCATTCACAACAACAACAACAACACTAACATAGTATCATGATCTATTTGAAGATCCCATACTACGCTTTTCAACTTTTATGTGATTTAACCCTAACCCTAACCCATTACATTACAGTGCTATATGGCCTTCATTCACATGAAAGCAGTTTTGTCATTGATTCCCCCAAGCTTTAGTAAGAGAGTGATCTTTCTCTCTCATTCTCGAGAGGCAGCAAAACGACTCAATTTGTTCAATTTGTGACGTGGCACCAATTTGTGACGGCTGGGGCAGGTGGGCTCACAGGCAAAGGACCATGAGGCATCACCTCTATGCTAGACATGGCTATAATTCCACATGTTTTGAGTGTTATATGGTGTATGGACCTTTAAAAATCAGCTGGCATCCGCAGATCGTGTTCTTGAGCAGCAATTTATATTTATTAATCAATCCAAAACATCTACCAAAAGGCATACAAATGTTGGCACTTATTTTGTAGACTTTATAAAGCATGTGTGTGTATCGCAGGAAGAACACTGAAAAGACCTTCAACTGGCCTGTAGAAATATTGACAAGGGCCTGGGACAGTCATGCAGCCTCGCAGAAATTCAACTCTGGAAGACGTCAGCCAAAGCCACCCCTTCCAGGCCGGCCTCGCATCCCCAGCCTATCGCACAGCAAACGCCCATTTCCAACCAACCTATGCCGGCCAGGCCAGCCGCTTAAAAGCGGAGAAACTCCCACTTTACGGCCTCCTCGAAGCCTTGCAAACCACCGCCTCCCCTCCTCCTCCCTTTTCTCACCCTGCCTCAATCATGCCTCTTCCTGCTGCCCGAATGCCGCCACCAGTGCCTAGGTCCCGGGGGATTGTACGGGCACTCTCACAGGAGCCTCGCTGACTGAACGCCGCACCGGGGCCTAGGCGCCAAACTACCTTTCAATAAATAACTTCAAACGCATTTTGTCTCCTCAAAGTCTCTCCGGGTTGAAATGATAAAGTCCCTGTTTTAACTAAAAATGTTGTTTTGGATTAAAAGATTGCCCAGGGAGGTCCCACAGAGGTGGCAGTGTCAAAGCGTTTGGCTTCAACAGTTTATTTTTACAACAGAAAGGCTTAACACTGGGCTTGTTGTGTGTTAACAGCGAGAAGTTTTAAAACTTACTTTGTGTGTGAGAAGTTTGGTTTGTGAACCACGTGTTCACCTTTTTCCTCTTTGGTTTGGCATGAGCAGCTGTAGGAATATGTATTGTCTGTTGTATAGGTTGGTTTACAATTATATTTTCAAATGTTAAAGGTATATAGGAGGATTTTCCCAAATTTTAGAAACGAACTGCCCTCTCCACCTTTTGAACAAAAGTGTCTGGTCTTATATCATTGACAATTGGGTGGACCTTGATGATTGGGTCTTGATGATCCACTCGGAAGTAGCAAAACCCTCCTATACACACCTTTAAGTTATAACACAATTTAAGTTTTTGATATAGAGTTTATCTTTTGTTCCCAAATAAATTGTATCTTCTCAAACAAATGAATAATCGACGCACACATGTATCACATGCAACTATTTATATATCATGTTTCATTTGTCAACAGTTAATACAATGTTAAATGTTTGAAAGACAAAGACAAAAGGTGAGCGGAGAGGGTTGTCCTATGTTTCTGTCTCCATAATATCTATTGATCCGTCCTGTGTATCGAGTACATTCTGCTGTTGTGTCCGTGAGCAAAGCACTGAAGCTCTGTGCCCAGGTCACGTCGCGGGATCGCGCGCCATTTCTACATGAGTTGTAAATGTTTTGTTCCATTTTGTTCAGGACGTGGGTCAATATTTGACACATGCACAGGTAAAAGCATGTGAACGCATCACACGCGCTCGTGTGACCTGCGACGGGAATTGGACTCGTGACTGTCTCTGGGTAGACGCCGCGCTGCCGCTTTGACGCGCGCAGACGCCACTAGGAGGCGGAGCAAGCGCGCGGTGTGTCGCTGTGTGGACCACACGCTACAGTCCACTCTCAGTTCCGTACCGCTCATGCCTCACACGCGCACGTACACGCACCAGCCCGGGTCGGACTCTGGGACCTGCCCCTGTCACATTTACACACCGCCGCTGGAACCCAGAGCCTGGAGCCCGGAGCTTGGGGCACGTCTCTGGGGGAGCGCATGGACGTGCAGCAGGAAAAGTAGTTTGGACTGATGCTTGGATAAAGGAGTCCCAGTCCAGGCACCTCACCGCTGCTTCTCTTGGAGGTAAGCACGCCTCCTCTTGTCGCTCGCGGCCGCGCATCCTCGGTTCTGTAGCGGGATGAGACTGGACCCTGGACTCAGTGACGCATCTGAAATCCCGGGACTCACAAACTGCTCATGTGTTTTGGGGGTACGAGTGTCCGCGGCGTGGACTGCGTGGCTCTCATACTTTACTCACTAGCACATTTCTCAACATCACAGCAGCTTTAAACACACATGATGCTTTCTGCAAAAGCTGAATTCACTCCAAGAAATTAAGTTTTTTTCTTTGGATTAAAATGGTATGTCAATCCATTCCACACATTTGTATAACTGGCCTACAGAATCCTCAATATTATTTTTGTCAGTATGCACAGAAGAGCGAGTGTTAAAGTCATTCAATCCGACATTTCATTTCTCAGACTTAATTATTGCCATTTGATCTCAACGATCTTAAGTAATGGGCAGTTAATGATAACAAAAGCCATTGACAAATTGCCGGGTGTCTGGGTCGGTTGGCAGGAGGCGTGAGGTAGAAATGTTGGCAGAAATCAATGAGTTTAGAATCATTTGGAAATTGTCACTTGGTGTCCAGCTATGATTTTGAGCAAGAGAAAGATTGCTCCCAAACACAAAACACTCCGTTGTGATTTTCTTGCTCTTTTCTTATCCGCTCATCATGATTGAAATAGTGTTCTCCATCTGGATAGAATTAGCCTGTGTTTATAATGTGCGCTGAAGCTGGTTTTCTTACAAACAGATAATAGTCAAATATAATTCAGGCTATTTTCATCATGAGCCTTGATAACATTTGTTTCCATCTCAGTACGGAATGTTGCTCATGGAGAACACTAAAGCGGCTGCAATGATTAAACAATTAATCATATCCATGTCACTGTTAACAACACTACACACAAACACAAGCTAATCTATTTAGAAGTCTATTTGGTTTTAATTGTGTTCACGATTCCTAATGAGTCCACTAATGAGTCCACTGATGGAGAACTAAATGCTGACATGCGCTTGAGATTATGGGTCATGTATGAAGTATTAAAGGGGACATCAGACACAAAGCCGACTTTTCACGGCTTTCCCTTGTCATTCACACACGCAGAGATTATTTAGATTCATGTTTGAGAGCTATACATGGGCTGAGCGTTGTGTCGTTGTCACTATATAGCAGACAAATCAATGTTATGTCTATTTTAATTTAGTTTATTAAGATGATAATAATAATAACACATTTTATTTCTCAGGGGCCTTATAGATACGCAAGGTTCAAGGTCGCCTAACATCACAAGTACATTTATTTGATTATATTTATTATAAGTTAAAATGCAGATAAAAGCAGCATGGACAGAGGATTGTGTGGTTTCAATGTTAATGAGTAGGCTTGGGTCTAAACAGATGAGTTTGTGTGAGCGTGTCGGTGTTACGGAGGTCAGGGGGGAGAGTGTTCCAGAGCTGGGGAGCAGAGCGGCTAAAGGCTCTACTCCCCATGGTAACGATGCAGGCAGGAGGGAGCAGGAGCTGGAGAGAGGAGGAGGAGCAGAAAAGGGAAGAGTAATTGACTGTATTAATTAGCTCCTGTTAACCTCATGACGACCATGTCTCAGTGTGTCCCACAAGGCGACCAACCCCTGACTGAAGAGAAAAGCTTTCAAACATCGACTGTGTTTTTGTAAGATTCGAATCGCCAACAGCAGGCACGACCAAACTAAGGCCTGTGGGCCAATTGCAGCCCACTGTGTCATTCTATGTGGCTGTCTTGGCTTGCTAACTTTGAGATCATAAACACAGTCATCCAGCCGACTTCAGCATATAGCAAATATAGACATGTTGTAAATCTCAGGAGCTCGAGACTTCAACCGTTGACATTATTTGTGTGGGCTGAGATTTGTTTGTGATTGTGTCGCAAAATTCTGTCTAAAAAGGTAATGGAGCTGGTGAGATGAAAAAACAGCTCCGTCATAGCCCATTTTAAAGCTGAAAGTAGCTTTTGTAAGATTGTCATATTAGGTTATCATTGAATGGCCCTAATCTCTCAAAAGGCTATAATAAAACATGCTCTTTTCGAATACTTCTTTAACTGATAACAGAAGTTCAGAGATATTAAGAATTTCAAAATTAGTTTTAAAGTCCCTAAATCTTGTTTTTGTTTTAATTTTGATGTCCGTAGTCCGGGTTGTCAGAACTCACTGCGTTGAGCAAATCTCACTGGTAAAGTAACATGTGGCCGCGGGACCAAAAAAGGTGTTGTTATGATTCTGAAATCATTAATGACAAAACAATAAATAAAACGGGGATGTCTTTGTGAAAATTATATTGGTTATAGATTTGGTGTTGGCAAAACTCTTGTCTATTCAGTTGGTATGGTCCCAGCTGGGTTCGTTTGCATATCTGGCAACCTTACTCAGGGAGAGTGCAGTGCCACTTTTGGTCAGATTTTTACATACTGCTCCTTTAAAACGGGCTGAATCCAGTCGAAACAGTTTTTTAAGCGGTCGTCTTACTAAAATGTTTGGATGGCACTGACCTACAGGCTTTTATAACAAAAAATAGAGTATCTTTACCTTTAATCTGGAGAATGTTTAGCTACAGCACACATGGTTAGCCTGAACGTGATGGTGGTTTTAGGATGTATTTGTGCTCAGCGTTGAAGAGTGCCTAATGCCACAGACAGAAGGTTGTGGGTTTGATCCTGTGCCGACCTGTGCGGAGGCGGAATGTTTCTCCCTGTGTCCGGGTGGGTTTCCTCTGAGCGCTCCGGTTTCCTCCACTCCAAGAATGTGTGGTGCTGGGAGGGGCTGATGGCACAGAGTGGATCTGCGCTTCCATCACTGCAGAGCATGGAGTGAGAGGATAGTGACTCACACCAGAAGATGGGGTGGTTCTCTTTTGTTCCTGTACCACTTCAACAGACTTAACATTCTAAACCAGAAAAAGCAGACGATCGCGGGGTCAGGATGTGAGCATATGATGGTTTTCAGACAGAAAGACATTGTACATTTCTCCACTGTGAGATGAATTACGCTTATCTTTTTCCCAGACATCTTCTTTGTCTTATAGCTTCTTGGTATTTACAATAATGGTTTCCAAAGTGAGAGTTGGGAGATTCTTTCAATATCCACAATGACGATGCTGCATTATGAAATTAATTATTCAACAAAAGAGATTTTAAGTTAATCAAGTAACACACGGGATGGGTTGATGCTTCCAATCGTACTTTTATTTCCCCAGGACATATTTTATGCACAATTGACTTTTTATGTGTGAGGTTTTATTGTCTGGCTCATTAGCTTACTGCGCTCTTGGAATAGCTTACTGCGCTCTTGGAAAGTGCACATTTCTTATTTCGTTTAAGAATACGACCGTCATTGAGAGATGTTTTGTACTATTATAAAAACAGAATTTCTACAGTAAATGGAATTGCCCCTCCGTAGATATTGCATGTACATTTGGTGAATGAAATCTCAATTTGGGGACTAAGGTGAAAGCAAACAGGGGCCACAACTGACAGCATCACAGTTGTCGCCATGGCAACAGTGACGGTAGATCAAGTTGGGATTTCTTTTAAAATGAAAAAAATTACAGACTCCGAAGAATATTGCAGGTAATGGGCCTTCACGCACTGTTTCTCACTCTTCCCCACTGGGTTTTCAAGCTGTTCCTTGCTGATGCATTGATCCAGGACACAGGTGTCAAAGTCAAGGCCCGGGGGCCAGATCCGGCCCGCGAGACCATTTCCAGTGGCCCCTGAGATGATTTTAAATTATTATATTAAATAGCAGCATTGACGGTATTAGGAGACAATGGCATGTTATCCATTACTAATTTTCTCAAGAATACCATAATATTTAATTCCTTAAGAAATGTTAAGCCAACGTGTAATTAGAAGTTAGTTGTTATGCTATGTTTTTACATTTCAAGGAGGATTTCCCAATTTGTTAGTAAAAAAACGCCCTCTCCACTTTTTGAACAAAACTCTCTGGTCTTATTTGACGAGCACGAATCACCAGAATGATTGACAGTTGGGAAGACCAATAGTCTGATGACCCACCCGGAAGTAGAAAATCTTCACATTAACCTTCAATATTTGGTCCAGTTTTGGTCCAGTCCACAGGAACTGAACTAAATCTATCCAGAAAAGAATATCCAGTCTGACTAATGTGAAACAAGTCATTTATATAGATACCTTCATATTATAAAAAGTATAAAAAATGAAACCCACTTCTTCTTTCGGCCCCTGAACAGCCCTTTAATTTTTTTTTCGGCCCTCAACCAAATTAAGTTTGACACCCCTGATCCAGGACATTCATGGCCATTGGTCTTCCGCCCCGGACCAACTATTGGTTTGTTAATTGATTCTCTGATCTGTGTTGGTTAATCAACAACTAAAGTCTTCCAAGATTACTGCTGTTGTGATTTAGGGCTATACAAAATTGAATTGAATTGAATACCTCTGGAGCTGTGGACTTTTCATAAACATTTTGTACAAATAATTGACGTTTTCCCTCCGTGTACTTATTGCCTATGTTCTGCCAAACTCATGTGACTGACTCCTGAATAAAAGGTTTCTCATTGGATGAAAATAAACTGTTATTTAAACTGTTATACATATAGGAGGAAACAGATGAATTAATACTTGTTTTTACCATAGGGTACAGACTGTAGTGCAGTCTTGTAAGGTAAATATGAAGTAAATATTAAAACGTCCTGATGTCCACAGCCCACGCGGCAGAACAGGCGTTTGTGCCGCACGCATCTCTCCTTTTGCATTTTCAGATTCAGCTTGTATTTCGTGGATGAGAAGGATTTAAATGCGTCTGTAGCTTCAAAAAACATAACATAACATCATGTGCCTGTGCAAATATGAATATGACTTCTTTTGCCAAAACAGATATCTCAGTTCAGAAAATGTGTCAAAAAGTTGTAATGCTCTCGTTACATTCTTCCACACGTTTTGTTGTT